CACCGGCCGCAGGCGCCGCAATGAATCGTTCATTTCAGAAACCATTCAAAATAGAAAGCACGCGCTAGTGGCGGATTATTGTTCCAAGGGGATAGACGCATCGATTAGTGCATATTTACATGGAAAAATATTCGTTTATCAACTGCTTTAATAAATAAAAAAAATATTTTGAAAACATAATTTTGAGACTTTTCTCAGTTTTCTCCAAAAGAAGATTCTTCGAACTAGATCCCGACTAGAGCAGCCCGATGGGTATCCTCAGCTTCTGTAGTAGTTTTTAGTTTTAATATAAGTCAACTATTAAGCCATCCAACATTCATTTACACTGAACTATGTATGCACCGTCTATGTAATAAATGAAATACAACAACAAAAAAACAATACAATCAATACATACATTTTTGGGGGAGGAAGAGGGTTTACTACAATTCTGAGAAACGAGTAGAAAGAGGAGAGAGTGTTGGAGAATATTGAACGTTCTCACATCGTTATTATAAATATTTTTTCATTAACTTAAAATTACAAATAAATCTTTTGGTTATATTTGCAAAATTGTATTGTGTAATTTCGCACATTTGTTTTAGAATGAAAATAATGTATATATAGTGTGGGAGGGGGGCACGTAATGAAAAGTCTATCGCAAGGGCTATGTTTCTACAAGTTGTTAGAAAAAGGGCGGGGTCACCACTACATTTTACGAACATGAGTTTAAATGGTCTCTGCTGCGTGCGGAACTCACCTAGTGCGAGCGCCCGGTGGCCTCCGTGCCTCATGGTCGGGGCGCCGCGGGGGCCTGGGCCGGGGCCGGGGCCGGGGCCGGGGCGTGGGCGGCGGCGCTGCGGGCGTGGGCTCCGTGAGCGGCTCGACGCGTCATCGCCCCGCGCCCGCGCCGACGGGCATCGCAGCTGCAACACACACACACACGCGCGGTCAGGCGGAGGCGGGCTGCGACTCCTTCTCAGTTGAGACTATAGTGCAGCACACAGAAACGCATCGATAGCCCTCAGAAGAAATTTCAAATATTGAATGATGTGTAACAAAATACATACAATCATACATATATTTCAAAAATAACGTGTACACTTATGATGAATTGAGCGACGCCTGTTACCTGCCACGAAACATTCGCTCAACATTTGGAAACTTAGCTGAAAAAAATGATTTTTTTCGGCTAATTAAAAAATTTTTGTTTCGCGAATCGGTCATCATAGGGCCACGCAAAATGTGCATTCCAGCGTTCACATATCGCGGCTCGGGATACGTGCACTTTACTTTCTATCGGGGGGATCAGCATTTTAACGCTGATTTCATTTCTGCACCCCACCGTAGTTAGCCCTGGAGGATGGGGTGAAGTTGTTATGATGAATGACATGCAGACATTTAGAGACACACACAACACAACTAGAGGCGGGACTCGAACCCGTAATCCTTTGGTTCGAGATCGCTACTGCACAACTGCCTTAACGATCTCGATCATCGAATCGACACATTATTATTGTTATTATTATTATTATAATAATTATTATTATTCACGTTCACAAACATCCGATCGATTTCTCAAACAATGGGAAAATATTCTACCGAATTTCGTAATAATAGATGTATCCTCCCTTTTTTAACCACAACGTGAGTACGGGCGGGGGAACTTTCGAATGTAACAACTTTCAGCAAATGAAAGAAAAGGCATCTCTAGTATCCCAAAGTTGACAGAAAAAAGGTAACCAAGAAAACAATACGGTCATACCTCAGTAAAGCTTCCAAAGATCTCCCTCCCTCTGCGCGACAAGCGAGACAGTCTCCTATCGTTGGAACGACGTTCCGAATGACTTTCCCCTCCGCCTCCGTCTCGAGGCAATAACCGAACTGCGAAGAAACTTCTATTTCTCTCTGTCCATTCGGGGCCCGATCGCAGATCGGAGGGTCCATATCTGGAGCAAAGCGCTCGCGTGTGTAATGCGATATTCTCAAATCTCGAACCCTTCACGAACTTTTCCGGCTGAACACGGGTCCAACATTGACGTTAGCGACCCACTCGCTCTCTTTCCCGAAGAGGCCGCGATCTTCGAAGAGCCCCCCCCTCCCCTCCCC